CTCCCCCTCACACCAAGTTTCAGCCAAAACCGTAATAATTTGTAATTTTTGCCTTTCATACCATAAACCTACCGTAAACCTACAGCGACGTCAGATTTGATGGAACATCACCGGCGCATATAGCTTATGTCATAATCTATATATGGGCAAAATTTGAGTGCGTCATATTCAACGCGAAGAAAGTTTTTAGAAATGTTGCAAAACTTAGTTTTCAACCTAGTGAAAATTATTCAGTAAAACCGAAAGAGGGTTGCTTAAGTCACCCCCTTTAGAACTTGAAAGATCAATCTATATCGTTGCCTAGTTGAATGTCACGAATAGTTTTTTGTCAAATCATAGTATTTTTGTCAAATCATAGCAAACTCTAAAACCGCTTCGTCTATATTTTAGAAATTTCTCGCGGGGCTTCGCAAATGTTGCATGTAACTTGTATCCACTACAAGTAGCGTAATATGAAGGATAACGAGATGAAGCATAAGCACAGATTAATACGGAAGTTTTGAGAGCTTTTTGAAACCATTCGAAAAGTTTTCTCAAATAATATTTTCAACTTTTTGCAACATTTACTAACTTTTACATGCGGAAGTGGAGCAAGAATATGCTCTCTTGTCATTTAACAAATAATATATCGCTCAAACCAACCTTTCGTGTCATAAAACAAAGAAAAATTTTGATTGCCCTCTTTTGATAACGTCATCTCGAAAAAAGACAGCACCGTTCTGGAGATATGGCTGATGAACTGCGCAGTGGTTGAGAACGATAAGTCACGAGATTACTTTGCGCACGAGAGGCTCAATAGCAAAACAGAGTTTCACATTTAGTTAAGACACGTTGTTGTATAAAACGCAAATATCGAGAAAGCTTTATAATACTAGATCCAGTGCTATTTTCAAAGATATGTATGAATTTGAGAAAGTAACGATACCAATAACTTTTGAAACTGACAAACTAATACTCAAAATGCCAACAAATAGCTATTAGGTTGATGCACAATTCTTGCACCAAAAAATATAAAAAATTACTAAAAAATGCTTAGACGAACTCATCAACTTACACAATATGTTCATTGTTATGTATATCAAAAGTATCTTGTAGTATGTTTTCAAAAATCAGTATCAAACAAAATCCACTGATTTTGGAAAATCGAAATTCATAACTATTCTTGGAAAGATCCAATCGCAGCCAACTTTTTTTAGTCAATAAGAGTAGGTCATAAAACCAAGGCGAAAAATAAATTCAGTTTCTAGTAGATGTTTTAGCAATTTTAGCAATCAAAAATCGAAACATTTTGAGTGTTTCTCGTAATCAGTTTATATCGCTGCCATATGCCCTAAAGGAACTCAACTTGAGCACACTCTGAAAGAGCAAGATTTATTCTTTCTATTTTTAGCCGATTGGAAGATTTCATTGATTTCGGAGAAAGTACCAGAATTTTAAAAAGTTTGGTGCAAGAATTATGCGTCAACCTAATAGTTATATTCAGTCAACACGAAGTTTTCTCACTTGAAGAAAAATAGGAAAAGATCGAGTGTGAAATCAAATTTTCTTGGGTGTTCTAGCTTTCCAGCGAACAAAACATGGAAAGAACCGAATATTCTTCTTTATAAGATTGCCTACTTGATAAGCCACGCTGGTCATGGCTTCATGCCGGAAATCGCATGTTTTTTTCTTTCGGGCATAAATTCAAAGGGAAGTCATTGAAAAGAGATTATAATTTCTACAATTTTTAGTGCAAATATGCAACTCAACAGGGTAAAACAAACCCGCAGGTCTGTGGATCACCTCTTATCTACAGTTGTAGCGGTGGAACCCGACCAAAATTGCGGGCTTTGCGGGACTTGTGAAATTTAGTTATACTTCTTCTAGAACAACTTTATTTGGAATTCGCAAAAAGATTTGGCTTCAGCTTGATAAGAAAAATCTTTCAGTATACATTATGCCCGTTTTCCGTGGTGCATCGCATTGTAATGGCATATTTATAAGATTATCAACATGTATTGTTGCTCACATGAACAATTTTTGAAAATAACAAAAAATTATCGTATATGTTTACCGTAACACCATGGACAACGGGAATAATGTTTGCTAAAAAATTCATCTCATCAAGATGAAGCCAAATCTTCTTGCAGATTCGTTGTTTGGAAGAAGTTATAAGTAAACCCTGCAATTTTGGCCGGATTAAATCGATACAATTGCATATAGCCTACAAAAAATTACCCATAGGAACGTGTCCTACTTTAACTTGATCCGCTTGATTGATACACTTCGCGATTGTCAAATAAGTGGAAGGACCAATAGCGAAGTGGATCAAGTGGATTAAATGGATCAAAGGACATCATTTTGCCACTGGCCAGTTCACTGATTTGACCAATAGCG